ATCAACACCAGTCAAACCCCTCTGCACATCTCAGCCACAGCAGCACCCACAGAGCAGCATCTTCCCTTGTTCTGGGCACTCACAGACATCACTCACACCTCAGCTCCACTGCCTCCCTCTCCTCACCCAGGGCTGGAACACACAGAGCCCAGTTTGCTGTCACACAGGGACTGGCCACTGCCACAGGGGAATTTAGTCCTGACAAGGAGTTTTGGAGCTGGCTGAGCCCATCTGAGCCCATCTGAGCTGAGCCCAGGCCAGGAGAGCACTTTCAGAGTGCTCATCACAGAGCACACACAGGCACGCTCCCTTCTTACCTTAAACCTGTCTCACAAAGCCCCTGTTGGGGCTCATTTTCACGTCAGTGAAACAAATTTAAGCACCTGGTTTCCCACTGCATACCCTGCAGCTGGATAAGAACAGTTCCCTGAGCCATGACTGGGATCCTGCCCACTGGCAGTGCCCCCCCAGTACCTGGCTCCTCATCCTGCAGCTCAGAGCCACGTCCCTCCATGCTGGAAAGGAAAGCAGTGTTCTACTGCTTGTTTTTGCATTAAAAAAACCTCATAACACCAGGATAAAGTCCAGCCAAAGGCAGGTTGGGACCCCCCATTGTAACCAGCAGCACAACAACTGGTTAACTCTGATTATCTCAACTACCCTGTTGGTTATGTCATAAGTGATAAATCAAGACAAGACTTGCTCGATAAGGAAAAGCAAGTGAGGCTATTTTAAAATGAAAATCCAAAGGAATTTAGAGTGCTGGTGTGAGAGAGAAGAGCTGAGATTAGGAGGCGACATAAACACAGGCTGAAAGGGGCCACTCCAGAACTGTCCTCCCGTGCCTTCAGCAGAGGAGGAACAACATCCCCTGAGTTACCCAAAGCTGGTTTTTCTTGGAGCAGCCTTGGCACCATCCAGGGCAGCACTGCAAAGTGCCCGGTTCAGCTGGGGCAGGTGAGACTCCACTGCCAGAGACCCCCCAGCCCTGCTCAGCCTCAGCTCCATCAGCCAGAAGGGCGGTTGCTCCTCCGGCCCCCAGAACAGATTTATCCCCCCTAATCCAAGACAGGACAGTCATTTGTTCAGCATTTTAAACCCAGCTTGGCCCACAGCCATAAGAACATGCTTGAGAGGGAATGAGCAGCAGCCACTCACGGTCTCAGTTAGTGCCTGAGGAGCTGTGTAACAGAAGATGCAGCTGTAGATGGTTCTTGTGATACTCAGAGCACTGGCACCATTAAAAACACAGCATTGAAAGCAGAAACTCCTCAGTACCTGTGTCTTAATGGGTTCCATCTCTTCTCCACCCACCTGCTGTGTCCCTGCTGGAGGGCAGCCCTGTCCTCAGGGGTCTGATGGCATCCCTGTGACTCAGGAGACGGGTGTCCAGAGCAAACAGCAGCTCACAACTCACACTTAAGACAAAAAGAATTGTTGATCTTAGACCATGGGATGAAAGGCAGCCTCACACATCTGGTGTCACAGCTGAGCTCTCACACCCTGCAGGGATTCCCAAAGAGCAGGATTTCCACCAGGACAGCCCAGGCTCTGCTCTGTGACCCCACACTTGCCCCCTCCAGCTCACGGCTGCAGAGGTGGCAGCACCCACCTGCCCCCAGCCCAGCAGAGCAGAGCACCCACAGCATCCCACCGGGAGAAGGTCTCCAGCTCCTCTCCCAGCACTTACAGCAGAGACTAGGATGCAGAGAGGTTGGGTGGTTGTGTATCACAGGGGCATGAATCTGATATTCATAGACTTTCTCTGTCTTTTAAAGGGCAAGACTCTTTGAATAGAAACAATCTAAGACAACATCTTGAAAGATAAATGAATGTTCTTCTGTACTTCCTCACTGAAATTTAATTTTAATTGATATTAAACATGACAGAGCTTCTACTCAAACCTGTATTTGCCAGCCATGACTTCCACTGCCATCACATCCCTGCCCTCAGTGTCCTCTGTGCTCCTTAGTCCTTCAGGGCTGAAGGACCAGCCTAAAGCCAAGAGCCCCCCTGACCCTTGCAGGAGGCAGGACACCAGCCCCAGACCCGAGGCAATGGTGGGGGGAGCAATGGTAACTGCAGAGGGAAAATCATCACCAGGTCTCCTCACAAACGTTCTCAAAGTGAAAGATTTGGATGCCAGTGCAGCTGGGCACAGATTCCAGCAGGTGTCCATGGATGCCAGCTCACACCTGGATGTGTGGGGGAGCACTGAAGGGAGCAGCACCCACTCCAAGCACTGCGGCAAAGCAAGCATTTCATGGAAGGTTTGGGTTGGAAGGGACCTTAAAGCTCATCTCATTCCACCCCCTGCCCTGGGCAGGGACACCTTCCACTGTCCCACGTCGCTCCAAACCCTGTCCAACCTGGCCTTGGACACTCCCAGGGATGGGGCAGCCACAGCTTCTCTGGGCAACCTGTGCCAGTGTTTCACCACTTGCAGTGGAAAAACTTCCATAGAATCTGTTTTGGGAAAGTTCTGTCCTGCAGAGCACATGGAGGGACCGGAGCAGCCCCGAGCAGGCACCTCCTGCTCTCCCTCTGCTGTGTATGTGACTCTCCACTTTTACACAGTGTCCCATTCACAGCCTTAACATGCTCGGAAATACATTTATTTATAGCATCTACAGTGCAACAGAATATCCTCCTCCCTCTCCTTGCTACTGGAGACATTTACTACCTGCACGTTGCCCCTGCGTGGGTGCACATTCTCCTCCTCCCACGCCCGGGACAGCAGAGCCCTGTGCCCGGGGGCACAGCCCAGCCCAGCCTAAAGACAGCCAGTGACTCATGCCATCAGAAATCCCACCCGGAGCCAGGGGCAGGGGGAGCCCCCACTGCCCCCCAACACTGCCCTGCTGCTCCCTGCTCACCCCGGGGCTGGGGGCAGCCGGCCGAGCCCCCCAACCACGGGCAGGGCAGGCACCCAACCCCTCCTTCCTGGGCAAAGCCTTCCAGGTGGGACAGGCCGGGAAAACCACTGGAGCCTCCTGTCACACTTCCCCTGTCCAGGCCAGCCCTGCAGAGCAGCTGTGCCTCCTAAATTCGGCGCTGGCTCCCGGCCCAGCTGGCCTTGCCCTGCCCACGGATCCGCACGCACTCAGCTCTGCTCACTCCAGAGCACATTCCCGGGCTCCCAGACTGCAGAAAACAGCTGATTTTGCAAAAACATCCTTCACAATCTGTCCTGAAGTGCTGAGCCATCGAGCAGTTGGGGCCACAGAGCTCTGACAGAGGACGCAGCCAGGAGGGAACGGGTCTGGCCTTGGAGCTGCTGCCCAAAGCTTCGGAGCGTGGAGAAGTTTTATCTCCACCACCAACCCACCCTGGGTTTGGGCTCTTCCAGCTGCTGGGTAGAAGCAGAGGGAGATGCAGGGATATGGAACCAGTGCTGCCAAAGGGTTTTCTAGTATCCTTTTGCCCAGGACAGGGGCATTTCTCTCCAGAAACAACCTGCCCAGATTTACACCCACAGCCCCATGCTCACATCCCTTTCCAGAGTTTGTCCCCTCTCCATAGGTGCCCTCTGTGCCTTTGCAGGATCCTGTGAGTTCACATTGTTACTTGCACACCACAGTTCTGCCCTTTCTCTCCCCACAGGAGTCAGGGAGGTCCCTGACAAGCTGCATCCACCTCCGTTTCAGTTACAGATGTAGCACAGCCCAGAGCATCACACATCAGCTTCCACTACAGCTGACATGCCAACAAAAACAGCTTCCAGACAAGGCACCAACCTGACACCAGAAAAAAAAATACTGAAAAAAAGGAGTTTGAGAAGCCTGGCAGCCTTGGACCTGTGGTCACACTCAGCCAGGCCCTTGCTATCACAAATTCTAGAGGAAAAATGAACACATCTGGACTCCTCTGAACACCACATTGGACTTCTCAGCCCAATGAAAGATCCCAATCCCATTTTTGCACTGTATTATATCAAAGGTCTGGAACAGCCCCATCCCAGTGGTGAAAGCTGAAAGCTCCAGGCATGCAGCCACATGGGTTTGATAAGGACAGCACTGCCCAGGCACTGATGTTTTTGGAAGGCAGCAGAGCCTTTTGCCTTAAAATACCTCCCCCCCAGTGCCAGCCGAGCACAAGGGCTCTGAAGCAGCTGCTTCCACACTCAGCAGCTTTGGGCATCTCAGGCTCCTTAAGGAGTTGTCCATCCCTCCCTCTCTACCTGTCCTTAAGGAGCTAAACATCCTTCCCTCTGTACCCCTCCTCTACCCCCGTTTTGTGGGTTTTTTTCACAAAACCATTACTCTTAAACAAATCTTCAGTTCATGAAAGCCAAGAGCACACAGGAGACATTGAGGATTATTAGTAAAATACAACCCAAGTTAAGTGTATCTTCATTAGCATGCTAATTGTCACTGTGGGCAGTGTCCATGGAGGAGACATCCTGACCACTATGGATCTGTGGGTTGATGTCTTGTGTTTCCTCAAGTTTCTCTGGTTGAAAAAGCTGGAAACAGAGGCATCCAGGATGACACCACAAGCCTTCTCCTGGGCTCCAGGGGGACCACAAGTCTCACTGGCCACCCCAGGACAATGTGGCTTCTCTAGGCAATATTTATAGGCAAGATTCCTGTCTCCCCTGAGCTCCTTCATTTGTGGGTTTGTAAACTATTTTCCTCAAACAACACTTTCTCTCAGGCTTTTGAGGACTTTTGCCCCAATTTGGTCATCTTTACCCCTGCACAAGGAGAAAATCCCACTGGCACAGCTGGGCAGGGGGTCTGCACAGCCACCCCCAGTGCCACCCCCGCCGTGGCTCAAAGGCCACACATGCCATCCCCCTGAGGTGGCAGCGGGGGCTGTCCCCAGCCCAGCCCCTTTAAGGGACACTCCGGGGCGGCCGCAGGAGCCACGACATTAATTTTAGCCTGGAGCAGGGCCAGGGGTGCAGGGCAGCTGCTGCGGGCGGGGGGGTCGGTGCCTCCCACCCTGCCCTGGCCGGGCCTCCCCCGGCACAGCCCCAGTTCCCACTCCAGAGGCTCTGGAGCAGAGCGGGGACACCATGGCAGAGGAACGGACCGAGCTGGAGGAGCGGATCATCATCAAGGACCAGCACACCAAGGAGATCGACCTGGTGAACAGGGACCCCAAGCACATCAACGAGGACGTAGTGAAGGTAGGGCTGTCCTGCTCGGGGCTGTGGAGCATCGCTGGAGCCGGGATTGAGGGTTCAAATGTTGGGCTGTGTGTGGCTCGACCTCAGACAGGGCTGTCAGTCCTTGTCCACGTGCCCCAAGAGGTGCCATCCCCGGGGCTGCGAGGAGGTAACAGCCCCGCTGCCTGGGCACCCAGATGCCAGGTGGGTGGCATGTGGGCTCCAATTAATGCCATATTTCCCATTCCTTGAATGGGCTCTCCAGTTTCATGGAGACACCCTCCTTTGTACCAGTAGGTAGAGAGCCAAAAATAACACAGAAGTTAAATATCACTGATTAAAGGGGAACCCTGGAAAAAGGCTGCTGGTCATCAAGACACAACAGCCTCAGTACCAGTGTTTGATGCATATTGTCCTGTTTGGGGAAGGCTGTTCCCCCCCAGGGAAGCCCAGGGGTGCAGCAGCTCCCAGATCCCTCCCTCTTTTGCTGACCAACAGGATCTCCCATTCCAACTCCTGGCCTTCCTCTAAGCTCTGTTAGAATTGTGTCACAGATAATTCCAGCCCAAAGGAGAACAGGAGGAGGTGGAAGGGTTTTGTTGAAGCTGTGTTTGAGAGGTTGAAGCGGGTGTCACACCAGCAGGGACAGCGGGCACCGAGCTGCCCACACGGGCTTTGACCTTGACTGCACTGGGGCAACACAAACCTGCATTTGGGCATTAGAACCCCCTCACAGCTACAGCAATGGTGTGCTCAAATTAAACTCCTCTGGATGAGCTGTGACAGTGACAGCCCTCCACAGGCACCCTCCTGGCACTGCCAGCCGTGCCCACGGCAGCTGCCCGACACCTCGGGATCCCGAGCACGTTCCCAGCAGGCTGCCCCACATCTGTGCTGCTCCCTGCCACTGCATCCCACAGCCCGGGTCTGGCACTTGGAAAGGTGCCAGGTAAAGGGAGCACCACCCCGTTGTGAGCAGGACAGCCCTCAGCCAGCCCACCCCAGGGCCAGGCAGAGCTTTGGGACACACACCTACACCCCAGCTTGGGGACACCACTGGCTACTCCTGGGGAGCAGGGCAGCACTTTCCTGGCCATCCATAGTCCTCCCACCTCTTCCAGCCTCTTTCCCCCACCCCACCCCTACCTTTTTCCACTCAAGGATCTCCAAAGTCAGAAAACCCCTTCCAAGCTCACACCCTCACATGGCCACACTGCTGCTCCCTCAGCACTGGAAGTTTTCAGAGCTCAGGCTCCCCAGCATTCCTCCACCCTAAAATAGCCCAGCCAGTATGGCTGGGGAGGGAGGGCAGAGCCAGCCCCAGGACAGGAGCACAGCTCAGCCCACTGCTGCTCCACAGCATCCCAAAGGACGGCCGGGGCCCCCTCGCTCCCCTGCAGGCAGGGGCACACTCCAAACACCCCCATGGATACCATGGCACACCCAGAGCACAGCAGGCAGGGAGCCAGCAGGAGAGCAGGGAAGCAGAGTGCTCCACAGGTAAAGGGCTCACCTGGTCATGGATAAACACCTTGAGCATCACGGAGCACCAAGCAGAATTTGGGACTGTTACCATGGTGGCATCAGCCAGAGAGGCTTTGCAGAGCTTCACAAGCCTCCTCCAAGCACAGCAGCAGAGCAAACCACGGCTGGACTCGGTGATCCTAAGGGAGCTTTTCCACCCTAAATGATTCCAGGATTCTGTAAAGGAGTGGTACCTTGTGTGTGCTGGTCCCTGAGAACCTGCAGGCAGTGCCCAGGATCCAGACTGTGTGAGCCTCAGCCTCCACTGCTCCTCCAGACCCACTCCCAGTGCAATGCCAGCAGAAGGAGCATTGCTGTAGAGCCTCTGCTCTTATATCCCACTGCTCCCTGTGTTAATTGATCCCTAATGAGCTCGTCAGGCAGCTGGGCAGTGACCTGGGCTAGTCCCCAGCACACCTGGGCTTTCTGGGGCTGCTGACAGCACTCCAGGACCTGCTGATTCCTCATCCACCCCATGCTTCTCCCAGCTCCAGGAAATTAAAGATGATGCAGAGTGATTTTGTGATCAAAGTGCTTCCAAAACCAGAATGGATATTGCAATCTAACATGAATACACAAACAGACACATTCAGCTGCCCAAGGGGAGGCCAGGATGGTTTTCAAGACAAATAGCTCAGCTTATGTATTTCCTGGAAGTGACTTACACCCCAAGGGGATCTTTGTGCGAAGTTCAGAGGATTTTGGGAGTGTTTGTCATTCAAAGACACCTCCAGTACCTGCACAAACAGCACTACCCCTGTAAAGGCAGGGCCAAGCCCCAGCTCCCCCTCCCCAGCAGGGATGAGGATGGACAGCACTGGACACCTCATCCCTGCAGGTATAAATAAATAATCCGTAAATCCAGAGGGCTGATGGATTTTTATTAGCACAAACACCTTCCTGCTGAGCAGGCAGCCCATGTTCCTGAATGCTAAAAAAGGGCAGGAATGGGCTCTGGCTGCCTCCCCCACACGGCTCCTGTTCCAAGGGCTCCCGCCTGGCCCCAGCACCTGGGAGCACCATGCCCAGCTCAGGGGTGGGGCAGGGACTGGGACAGGGCTGGGATCTCATGCCGTGGGTTAAGCCCACCACTGTGCTGCCCACGGGCTGAGGCTGGGCAGTGCCAGGAGCCCTGGGCCATGTCCCACTGGGATCTCTGCAGGGACAGGAACTCTCGGCTGCACCGGGGCTTGTCCTTGCTCGGGGGGTGCAGGGATCTGTCCCCCCAGCACAGCCCTCACCCTCCCCAGCCCCACCCTTTGGGATCTCCTCCCACCTTGTGTCTGACCATCGTCCCTGAGCCGGAGCCCCTGTGATCCCCCGAGCCCTCCTCACCTCCTGTGATCCCCGAGCCCT